GCGTGATCACATTCATCATTGTTTAAGGAACATCGAAGTTCGAACAATGTACGAGATGGTTCGTAATTATGCATGGTCGTGGAAGGTGTTTTTCACTCATTTTCCCAAGGTTAAAGAGAAGTCCCGGGCAATGGCTGACAACAGTCGTTTTCGGACTTTCCATTTAAAGAGGCATTGTATATAATATGCTTTATACAATTGTGTTTGCCAGCTTTATTTTGAGCAATTGCGAATGACATTACTATAGCGGACTATTTTATGATCGGCATTCTTATTTCAGGATAACGAATATAACAATATTTTATAATGTTTTAGAATCACAATACTCAATTCTAACGTATCTGCGATATCTGATATTTTTTTTATTTATTGTAATATCAACTCATACCGGTAGGCAGATGCGTAGCTATCTTAAAGGGGGAGGGTTATTTAAAATAATCGAAAAAATTATATATAACAAAATAATAACTTTACGTATACTTTATTTTACTAGCATATAAATACTTTTGTATATTATACATGAATATCTGCTCATGTGTATTATATTAATGTATAAAAAAGTGTTTAAATATTTTACTAAAATTTCAAATGGAGATTTTGTCTCTTATATATATATTTTAAATCATGTATGAAACGATACAAAATCACAGCTTTAGTTTATTAGATAAAACAGTGCAATGAGAATCCTAACCCGACATTACATTACTTTTATCGTAAGATGTATATATTTCGTTGTGATAAATATGTGTTCATGATGAATTTTTACTTTTATAAAATTTAAGTATAACATAGTCAAATGGGCTGTTACTACACCTGTAACACCCCCTTGTTACGCGTCTGTCAGTAGGTCATAATTTAATACCATTAAATACCGATATTACATCAGGAAATGTCTATTTAATATAAACACTTCAATTATATGTGTATAATTCAATTATAATTATATGTGTGTAGAAAATTAAGAACAACTATTAAAAAAAAAGTATTTTTTTTAGTATACTTGTAAATCATAATGTATAAAAATAAGAGTGGACCATGTTTTAACCTAAATATCGTATTAGCGCCTATATAGAAAAACTATGATTGCGCTTAATAAAATACTTGTTTGCGCCCACTATACATAAATTTGGCAACTTCACAGTAAAATTTAAATTCTTAGTATTAACTTCTAGTATTATAGTATTAACCAAACTCAAAAACTGTAAATTTGTAGTACTTGTAAAAATGTTTCTACAAAGGTACACTCTATCATGAATTAATTTAACGTCCTTGTAATATAACGTGTCAAAACTATTATTTGTAATTTCAGAACGTATAATTGTAATTGAACGAAAGTCATGATTTGACTCTTTATTTACACGTACTTCGGAATAAGTTGATGATTTAACTTTTTTTCATTCTTATCATGGTTATGAATTAAATTGCTACACACAATTGAATTCTCATTTTTAATTAGTCTTGCTAAACAGGATTTCATTTTACAATATTACATTACCAGATTAACTTTCCTAGACTTTTTAAATTTATAACTATTGATGATAAGTAAATCTTTAGAATTACTTACACTTTGTGCAACTATAGTTTTTAGTTTTTTAAAATAATTTTATTAAAACATATGCACGTAATCACGTTCGATGACAACTGACTAACTATAACGTTTGATATGATGACTAGTGGTAAAATACCTTATCGAGGTAATATAAATAATTTACAAGATATAAAGTTAAGTATGAATATATTATTGTAACAGATATGACAGATAAAGAAATTATATTTTTTATTAAATAGAGCTTTAAAAATTAAAATAGTTCATTGTGGGAAACTATTTTAATTTTTGGACTACTACGATTGTTGCCATATTTATTGATTAGTTATGTATTACTGGCATAATTAGTAATTATAATATATTTTATTCTATCTGCTCGGAATTTGAAAAAGCGGAACTTTTACTTAAGCATTGCGATATTGCCAAATTTAGCAAATAAATATTATTACATTTTATTAAACGCAATCAGGGTTTTTCTAGATAGGCGAAAATACGATACTTAAGCGCAAACACAGTCCACTCAAAAATAATCATTTTATTATTTTGGTCCAAGAAAAATTGTTGATATCTTTATGTATAAATGAATCCCTATTTCACTTGGTCACTCCATCACACGTGAACGGTTGGACAGATTTTGCTAATTATTGTTTTGTTGTGTTTGTAATTGTCAAGACAAGGTTGTTATGAAAGAAAAAATTAAGAAAATTGCCAGGAAAAGAATAAAATTTATGAATACTTAACCACCATAAAAAATTATGTCTTTAATATTATTTTAATTAATTATGTTTTATGACAACGTCTGTCGGGTCAGCTAGTACTAAATAAAATTAGATAATATTTTATTTATTACAATAATATTATAAAGTTGAATCCATGTTAGTTATTGTTTTTCGGGTCTGCTGTTATTTTTTTAAAAAAAATCTAGCGTGATTAATGGTTCGGTCAAAAAGGATAAACTTGTTCCAGTCATTTGATTTAAATAAATGTACTTATAATATATATATATATAATAATAAATTGATTTATCTATGTACTCATATATATTGAATACAATTTAAAGTTATTGGTTAAGCTTCAATCGTCCTAATGCGACGCGACATCTCGTATACAACTCAACGTAGAAGTGATTATTTCATAAAAACATATCATGAATAAAAATACTGTTATGATAAAATCTTTTACTATCAATATAAATATTACCACATTTTAACGGGGATCTTGAACGCGCGCTGACACGTCATCGCATCATCATAACGGATATATTATACACTAGCAATTTCCTGTACAAGTACCTATTACAAATATTTTTGATATACTTTGTGATATAAAACTACACTTAAAAGATAATGTTACATTTGTCTCAAACAATTTATCTATTAACTATCGTGACTTTGAGATTCCCGTCATTGACCATTATTACACGCAGTACCTACACTCCCATTCCGCATCATCAGCAGCGACTATCTCTGCTCGGCTATCCGTTGGTCTTACAATAGATCCACCTTCTTAAAAATCATATCGTATGCGCGCCTTATTAGTGATGTTAATGATGATGGACCGTTGGTTCTGTAGCGGAGACCGCGACCACGGTATTTTCTATATGTATATAGGTACACTGTACGCACGTTTATATCGACGAGCCGCGAGATTTTCGATAATGAGCGCGGCGTACCCGTGATTGATGAACGTCTTGAAAAAATATCATTATCTAGACCGCCTATCGGTTAGTGACTGCCAGGCTATTATCGCGCATAAAGCTACGGTGCGCATGTACACTATGTATATTATGTAGCTGCACTCGACTGCACGCGCACGGTCGTAGGACGCGGAGTAGACGTTGCGCGTTACATTATGTAGCCGTTATGATTCCTGTACGTGCGACGATACACCAATAAACGTACAAATAATGTGTACGTACGATGATTTTGAGATTCACACCACTTAATATACACCGATGGGTCGGCGAGAACGGCGCGCCGTGGCTTCTACATTATGTGTTGCACGCGGTCTAATTAAGCACGTCTAAGACGGTTTTAATTAACAGTCGCAACGGGGAGTTGTACACCGCGCGCGACCGTACGGGACCTATAAATGTGATAATATATAATTCGCGTATTGTAAGTCCTGCGCATAATTAACCCGATGTGCCTCTATGTTTTCGAAAGAAAAAATAAACCGTACGAACCGTTCTCGCGGCATTATTATAACGATTGATGCTGCTGCTGCAGATATCCGTACGATAATAGTACCTGTACATTTATGCATTCGACGATATCGATGCAACGTTAAGTGCTGCAGAACGCATAAAGTTAATCCCGGCCAATATCTTATTCGTATAAACGCGCGCGCGCGTGTGTGTAAACGAGCCCCGCGACGCGCGCGTCGGGCTCGCGCGCACGTGCAGTACAAAGGCGGCAGAGCTCGCGTGATTGTTGAAACAAGTCTGCGCGCCTACACAAGTTCGCCGCGGACAAACCTTAAATGGTGGTCAACTGCGTAGCTTTGTTGTATAATATGCGTGTGCGTGTGTGCGCGCGTACCTATACGGCTATACATGCATTAGTTAACGCGTTTCGTACAGTATTACACGGGTGTGTACCAAGGCCGAATGCGCTCACGACGACAAAACGCGGGCGGCATCTCTTGTTGGATAATATTATTATTATTATTATTATATTATATCACCGTGATGCGTTTTTATCCGTAGAAATATTTATCATGCGGAATAACACGCCGTTGATGTGATAATAATAATAATAATAATAATAATAATAATAATAATAATAATAAACGCGAATTGAGCAATACGCCGCCGAGTTCGACCTGTCTATGAATATACATATTATACTAGTGTGTACAAACAATCTCTATCAACCGACACGTTTTCGTTTGTACGGCCGAAACGCCAGAAAAATAGTGCGTTTCTTTGGTATAATCGTGCTTTATCGGCAATCCTATAGGTCCTTGGCCTCAAAGCGGTATCGTATAATATGTGTATTACGAACGAATCTGATCGTCTCTTAACTCGACTCATCAGTTCAATATACGCCCTCGTACGTACTATACATAGTGGTCCGGAGATACAGTTAGGATATTTTGTAAACCTATGATTTGTTTAACAAAGACCATCATCGCTCATGTGTATTTGTATACTGAAAATAACGAAACTTCCAAAGACGTTCATTAAATAATAATAATAATAATAATAATAATGTATTGTGTGTACGTTTAGGGCGTATTTCACCACTGTTATTATACTTTTTCTCGGCTATATGAATATCAATCAAAATTTATCGCCGAATCAGATCCGTGACTGTTTTATAAACCTAGTGTAATAATCCTTTTTGCACGGTGCACAAGTATATTATTGTATATATACTCCCAAATAGAATATAACAAAAGCAATAAGTTAACATGATTCTGTATATAATATATTTGTATTAATTGTTTGCAGAACATCAACTATGGACAAAATCTCGTGGAAGAAGAGTTCATACCGTCCGTTACTGCAACATGCAAAGCTGGGTACATGACGATTAAAGTCACCACCAATCAGCCTTTTGTTGGTTAGTCGACATGTTTCAATTATAATTACTCCGCTATATGTTACAACCGTTTTAATAACCCAATTATGCGCTATAATTAAGGGCACAAGTTACTGTATTCTATTGTGATGTAAATTATTTTATCTTTGACAAAATGTATAGTAGGTAGATTACCTGCGTTCTTTTTTTAAATCGTCGAATGCACATTTGCAATATGTCATTAGAATAAATAAAAACCTGTTTCGAAATAAACAATCATTGTAAATAATAGATATATTAGTTAACTAGTTCAAATTAATATAAAAACTTGTTAGATGTACACATTGCAAAGAAAAATGTTTGTTCAATAAGTATACAATTTAAAATTATTATAAAGTAATACAAAATAATACCTATGTTATTAATATAATATAATATTAATACAAAGTCAATTTACAAAATATACATAATATCAATATAATTTTTATTAATTCCAAATAAGCTAAAGTTATATATGATATATTTTGTGTAATGGTGCTATAATTCACTTCCTATATAATTTATAGACAGTATTAGTGTAAGGTGCAACTATATTTTATAAACGATAACGTATTACAAATATTTTTTTTTTTCGTTTGACTGCTTTATGCTACCTTCGAAACCCACGTCTCATTTTATGAACAACTGGTCATAAAATATTTTTAAACATACCTTGGAATGCCGTGTACACCTGTAGCCTTTTACGAACATAAGTTATATACGAAGTTACGAAATCAACCAGTAAATTAAATAGAATCAAGCCTAAATTATTTTGTACATTTTGACCAAAGGTCGTCAGCGCAAACCTTCTGTTTATCCAACAATGAACAAGAACAGTAACCATTTAACACATTGGTGTTGTCTTTAAAAAATAATTTGTTTTCTAAATCCCTGCCGAGGCCACATTATTGTTGTATTTTTATCGTGACCTCAGTTTAAATAAAATTATTTTCAAAATGTATTATAGAAACGTATATAATACTTACCTTACACAAAATATATAATAAATAGAACAAGCAAACAATTTTTCAATAAGACTTATTTATCTGATAAAGTAAATAAATTAGATTGTTACTTAAAGTATAACATAGTATAAAATATACGAGTATATAAAATCTATTAATTTTATTTCTCGTTTTTGCATTATTTCTGTCTTTGATTTTATAAGTAGGTAAACTATGCCCAATATTTTTTTATAAATATACATTAAATGTATTATAATTCGTATTTGGCTATATTTTATTGACATAACAGTATGGAGCAGAAAGACTAAGCCAGCAATTATTTTACGACGTACATCATATGTCCACCTACAACGCCTGTAGTTAATAAATGTTATACATTCACAATTTAGTTGTAATGAATATTTGGTTGCTAATTATACATTATTTGTTGACTTTCTGCACCATAGGTAATATTAGTATGGCCGAAAAGGTGTGAACCATAATCAATGATCTTATTGTTTTTTTTTTAATTTTTTTTTATGGTAAGTGCTCAAATCAAATTTCACCAAGGACTATTTTCCACACCTTTTTTGTGGGATTCATTAAATTAATATCTGTGTAATATCCGCATTCATGAACATTGTCTTTAAATTAAACAACAATAAGATATAAATCAAATCCATTTTTTTTTTTTTTTTTAATGCAATTATTAAAAAAAATAAAAAAATACTAATTTCATAATTTTCTAATTTTCAATTCTCATCACTCCAGTTAAGCTATTCTTGTAAAATTGATAATATATATCTGTATACTTCTTCCATACCTAATCAAAACAATTTAAAATTTCTATAGTAGATGCTGGATCGTAATTTTAATGCAGTATAATAAATATTAAAATATTTGATATTTTTTCTTGCTATTATTCAAACTAGATATTCTCATTCTATTAAAATATAAATAATTATTTAATACTATAGTAAGGTATTATGTTTTTTGAAAACAATAATTCCTAAAAGTAATAGTAAATAGTAGTAATATTATAATTTTTATTATTACTTTTATCAAGTACTATTATTATTAATATTACTATTGATTATTTTTATTTCTAATTAATATTTGAGTATCTAAATAGATAAGCTTTAAATAGTTAAATATTTATAAAAAAAAATGTGATGAAATAATACAAACATATCTAAAAAAATAAAATTTAGGGATTTGCGAAGTTTATAAATAGAGACTTATGAAGCTATAGATAATTGTTATTATTAATAATAATAGATAATTGTGTACAAATGTGAAACTGAAGACGATTTTTTATTAAAGATCATTATTTTTATTCAAATCCGAGTAAGCACCTATACGTTGTAAACAATATAATACGTGTTACCATATATGTACGTAAATGTTTACGATTTTCATTAAATCCCAAAATCAGCTTGTGGTAATCGACCCGTGTACACACTCTAGTAAAACTAATAAGACATAGAACATTTCGTATGTGTAATATTGTAAAAACATAATAAATTGAAACCGTGATCTTGATATTTCCCCCTAGGAGCCGTGCACGCCAGAGACTATCGTACATCGCCTTGTCTGAGTTACGGTAACGGCACCAAACTCACAACACTCGGCATCAACTTACTGGCCACCCAAGGATCGACCGAATATTGCGGCATTTTCATCAACAACGTACGTATATACCATGTACATTATTTACGATAATACCAGAGGTTCTCAAACTAGAGCCTCCATCAGTGACGTAACCAGGATTTTTAAATAGGGGGGGGGGGCTAACTACTTTTTGGATAAGTAAGGTAAGAGAGGATATGAGAATTCAGCTTTACCCCCCCTCACCATCTACCACCAAGTTTCTAAACGTAATTCAAGCATTTTAGTATAGTTTTAAAAATATTTATTAATATATAATTTATAATAATAATAATAATAATTTTAGTTTCAGTGTTCAGTCACTTGCTCCACTCTGACAGCTGCATCCTCTTAGGCGAATTTCTGGCAAATTCAGTTATTATTTCACTTTCATCGAATTGCTCTTTTTTATTTATATTAGCCATAGCTAACTCATTCGGTCTGTTTTCCGACATGGTGCTTCTTAAAAAAATTTTTAAGCAATTAAGTGCTGAAAACGTTCTTTCCGGAGTGAAAGAGGTAACTGGTAACGTGGCGAATAATTGTAAAAGTATTTTAATGTTAGGTCGAAGATTGGTGTGATGAGAGAGTGAATCAAGAGCAGAATTCGGTTTTGGAATAGTATTTTGACTCCATTGTTGCCTCCATATGAACAGGTTAGCTCTGATTGTAGATGAGGTATCATCATGGAGATCTTGGACATATATTTTAGCAGTTTTTATAATATTTTTATCGTCATACATATTTAAATTGGCCGGAATAAATCCTTCAAGTGGCATAAAATCAATAAACCTTTGATTAAAACGAGCATCCATTGATTCTATTAAATAGTCAAGATACATTATACATATAAACACGGCCCATGGGGGTTCTATAGCCCCCTTAGCCCCCCCCCCCTTGGATACGCCACTGGCCTCCATCAAAGTGATCTAGGGGCTCCGAAGACGCATTTGAATAAAATCAAATTTAACCATTATCGTTCGTTAAACTGTAACATTTATATGGATTGTGAATAATTGTTTACCTATACGAGTACGTAGATGTGCACATTGATTTTCTTCTATCAATTCAAATATTGAAGTGTCAGTAAACGAAAAGAAAAACAATATCATTGTTCACGTAAAAACTTATAAATTACTAAACAGTAGGTATTCGTAATATGTTTTTTTTTTTTTTAAATTAAATTGAATATTTTAAGTTTAAACGTCACACATATTATAAAGAAACAGATTAAACAGCTAATCATTGGTACACATTTTTCATGATAATTGTATTTTAAATCGGCATTCCTGGTTTTCGGCATCTTAAGGGTTCAGCATGCAAAAATGTTTGAGAACCGCTGATATTGTATACCCAAATTATAACATTTGTTACAATTGTATCGTGATACGCACGAATACCGTGCCATTTGTGAATGCGTATTTTACACAATAATCTGTACCGTTTGTCCGGACACAGTCTATATTGTTATTATTATGTCATGTATCCGAGAGGCAGATGACCATTCGCATATGACGTTACACGAGTATATACTGTACGTTCCACGTGTTGTGTTGCGTACATTATTATAACTGCATGGGAAAAATTCTTGCGACCAATTTCACGGTACATATTATTATTTGTCTCGGATTGATAATGGTTATTATAACAACGACGTGATACGAATTTCGGTATGACATATGTCGTACAGCAATGTTCCTGTATAGCATGTTAGAACGGGGAACGGACACCCATCATTTTAAACGTCATATTATTCGTATTATCATGATGTATAGAGAATACCTGAGAGTACATACACATTTATATGGCACTCAAATCAATTTTATTCATATACTTGCCTACATTACAAATTTAAAATATATTTAGTATTATGTTGATCGACATGATAACGTCATCGAGTTATTACCACTCACATAAGTATAGTTAAACGAGATTTTTCTGAGAAATCTGAACTTCAGTCCGAACACAATTCAAGTGTATATATATATATATGTATAGTTTTACTGTATACTTTTAAATTATTTCATTTATAAATACAACAACTTCATCGATTACAAAACAAATTTAATAAATTGTTAGAATACTTTAATTACATTTAAAAGCTTTTAAAATGAAAAACATATTACAGTCACACTAAACTCTTGGTCTCTAATGTATTCACAATTTCTTGCGAATCTATTGTGTTTAAAATATCTTGTTCAACTATTTTTACCCGTGATGTCTAACATTTTTTCCTCGGCGGCCAACTTTGATAAACAATTATCTTAGAGAGTGGGCTACCAAATATAAAAGTACGAATAATATCAATATTAATATAACAATGTTATATTGATACACATAGTAGGTTTACAATATCTATGTAATTATATATTGAATTTGTTTTCAAATATTTTATTGACAACTAAAAAGATTATACATTGAGGTACACATTTATTTGATCAGTACGTTATATTCAGTGCACGAGTTATATTGTGAAATGTATACTTGAAAATGTTCGAAAATAAAATTAATAAACTAAAAAAAAAATAAAATAAAAATAAATCGTATTTTATAATAATATTATGGTATTATTTAATATTTTGTTTAATTTAAAAAAAAAATTATAACGAGCACATGTGGCCCACGGGCTGCGGGTTGGTACCATTGATCTATACTTGATTTTCTTATAAATTATACTTATTACTTTGAAAATTCTTTGAATGGGCTTAGTGTCTAAACTGGAATAGTAATTACAAATTATTAATAATACACTATTATATTCATGTAAATATAATATATATAGGTATAGGTATAACATTTTTATAGAATAATTATTATATGAGTCTCGTTACATTATAATTATTTACACGAGTTTTCTTTTTACTTCCTGATTGTGAGGAATATAACATTGAATCGTTAGCATTTCAATCGTCATATTGGTATTAACTCTACCTCTATGGACTGCGAGCATAGCTAAATCGATATATTAAATACACCAGCCGCCTTCTATTATAGTAAAAACCTATTTGTAATAAGTATACGTACCTATTCAATATTCCAAGAAAATGACATTACTTGTCATTTCTAAGTCCGCGATGAATAGTAAAATAAATATAAAATATCATTATTTACACAATTACTAATGCTGAAATGCGTATTAATAAAATTAATAAATTAAAAAATGAATTAATTTTAATTTTCTGTAACAACAAATTATTTTCTATATGAATATGTAACCCTATTTTTAAACCTAAAATAACTATCAGAATGTTTTTAACTTATATAATATTCAAAATTCATATCCCTAACTGTAATTTATTGTATTATGATAATAGTCTTAATTAAATATATTACCTACTATCTTATAAAATCAACATTCGTCTCCGGTACTTTTTTATTACTGTTATTATATAATTTAAAACTCGTATCATATCGTCAGTGCATAATTACATCAAATACATATTTTATTGAAAGAAAGTAGTAAGCAGTTATTTGTATATGTGTATTAAAAAAAATATTCTAGATTTGTTCGATTTTAATATTTTCATTTACATATTAATAATTCGAAAAGGCATAATGTCAGATAATCAGACTCTTTAATTAACCTTGTTAAAATAGAGTTTATTAAAGATCGGTTAACATTCAAATAATGTATTATTTTAATCATATTTTTATAAGTGTATACTTTATAATAAGAGTATTTAATTATTCAAATAATGACTTCTTGAATACATTGAAGAACATTCAACATCAATTTAAAATTAATACAATATTTATCAAGTATGAAAATTTTCAATTAATATTTATATCTGATCATATTTACTGTTTTGTTTTGTTTTTATTTATAGAAAATAACTTTATAAAATGTTGTAGTCGTTAAGGTTTATATCTATTAAATCGAACTAGTCGATTAATTACTACTTAATTAGTACAATTTTACTTTTACCGAAGATCTATAAAAAAAATTTTTTTTTTTGCTTGTATTTAAATTACCTGGTATGTATCTAGTGACATGTTACCTCCTAATATTAAAAACCAATATAATACACTGAATAAACGTTATTTAATATGACTATAGTCAAATAAACCGTTACATATACATGTTTATATATTTAAATGTAAGTATACATACTACTATAAGCATGATTGTTTGGTGAAAATTGTGTAAATAAAATAATAGTGTTGGTTACGGTCGAGTAGCCGAACACAGCGTAGCCGTTGTGTACATTATTATAAACCGAAGTCACCGAGCTAATGGGGAAAGTGCCACGGTAGGGACAGATGATCCGTATAGTGGTGACGAAAAAAGTATTCATTACGCGAGCATGTCTAATAAACGATCGAAACGTTATTTGTATATACCTATACAGAAATATTTTTCGAATTGAAATGACCAAATCGTTTTCTGTTTGCTTGTGGACATTATTGTTACTGTTACGTCATTAAACCGAGTGCCATTATAACGGATTCCACAAGGTATTCCTATAAAAATATTTAACACAAAAGATTATCGTATACTTATGAGTTGAGATTAACAACGTAAAATTATTTTACATTTAATATCGTTGGTTGCATCTTATATCCCGGAAGTAGAAGCATTACTCGTTTGAGCTGATGATTAAATATTTAAAATAAATATATTTATTTTATATATAGAACCATAAAATGTACATAAAATGTTAATCTTGTGTGATATGCACGGCACCATTATTTTCTGAATATATATTACAGATAAAATTAATACCTAACTTGGTAATCACAATTTATTACATTCAGAATTCGTAAATCTTTATGATTAAATACCTACGTATAAAAACATTAATGCAGTTAAGGTCTACACGTCGAAAAATATTTTTTCCTGTTACGTATGTACCTCGTAAAATATCTTGTATTATTGTCTATACATAACAATGTTTTAAAATATTAACCAACCATTATGGAAAAACATAATAGATAATAAGTATTTAATGTTCATTGTTGTGCATATACCTGCATTTAAAATACATCGTTCTTGGAAAGAAAATTGTTTGGTCTAACTCTTTAGAATTCAAATCCTCTAGTATTCAAATTTTAAGCAATTGTAATAATATATATAACACTGATAATGTACCTATATCCAACAACTAGGAGTGGATCTAGAGAAATGTAAAGGGGTGCAGGGGATGAACGAAAAAATTACTTCGTACATAAAATCATGGACATTAAGTTTAAGTTTTTAAAATAATATCAAAAAGATTTAGTAACAAAATTACCTTTTATTGCATACATTACATAATAACATAGCCAAGGATAGGTTAGGATTATTTAGGACTATACAGATAATCACGATTATCAATGTCACTAAGTCATACATGTTATAAGCAGGGCTCGGAAGTTTTAGCAAATGCATATTTTTCTTGATTCATCCTAGAACATCCAAAGTAAGTTACAAATATGTTTCACACTACTCGGATATCAAACACAAAATTTAATTTTGCTATTTTTTTCATATTTACGGGTTTTATTGCTATTTTGTTATTTTGCTAATTTAGGGATTATAGTGGGAATAGTAAATTATATATTTATGTTTGGGTATATTTTCACATAATACAGAAAATAATCACATTTTGTTGATAATAATGATTTAATTAGTTATAGTTTTAAAAATATTTGAATTATTGAAAATAAATACACCTCATCCAATATTATTTTTTGTTTTTATTGACAATTTGATGTACTAATAGTTAGTGACTAAATAAAATAATTTAATTTTAAGTACACTTTTATAAATATATTTAAGTAATTTAATATTTTTGTTAAGTTTATAATTCAACCAGTCTAGATTTTTATGAGCCCGAAAATTTGTAAAATTACATTTAATTTTTTTTCTAATACATTTATAATTTTTTGAACTTAAAGGCTTATTTTCTTTTTTTTTTAGTGCTATTTATAGCACATAATTTAGAGTTTTTAAGTGTATATTTAAGAGCTAAAAAATAATATTTTTAGTGCTACAAATTCCGAGCCCTGGTTATATGTATTGAAGTGTTCCTAAATTTTTACTTTAAATAATAAATTAAAAATTAAGGTAATCTTTGAAATATTTGAAATACCCAAATCTTAAGGGGGCTTAAGCCCCCATAACCTTCCCTGTACCCACACCTGCTAACAGCTAATATATAAAGATATATATCATCAAAGTAAATTCAATAAAATAACTAAATTATGGAGTATACAATTTTTATAAAGTACTAATATATCTAAGTAGGTAATAAATAGTTTTGGATTTTATAATGCAATTATAATAATAATGTTTTTATTTTTATAAACAGAAAACTGAAGAAAGATCAGTACCCATTGCTATAAGAATACACAGGACTTTAGAACTTGCAGACGATAAGTATTACGTCATCACGTGTGGTAAAGCAGGATTTAAAAATTCCAAGTAAATAATGTCTAGACTTGAACTTGGCGATAAAATTCTACAAATGTTTAAAAAAAATCAACAAGATAAGAACATTACATTATTTTTCAGAAACGAAACGTCATTGGTATCGTTAAAATTCCTCGAGAACGGCAAAAGAATTCAGGAAGTCGTCTATAGCCATTCGTACACGCTAAGGGCTGAAATATCGAGACACGATGGTAAAATAAATAATTTTCTTTTTTTGTTGTTAACAATCTATAAGTACAATTATTCACAATGAATGTGAGAAAAGGGAGAATCATAGGGCACAACATGCAATGTTGCGATCTAAGCGACCATGTTTTTAAAGCAATGATATAATTCTACTTTTTTAGAAAAGTAGAACCCAGTAGTTTTTTAAAAGTATTTAATTCTGTCGTTCTCTACAATTATACAATATCAACACTTACGTGGAAGCATTTATAACATAATACGCTTCAATAATTCAAATACAATATATTTATTCTTTTGTGATTTGTTTGTTTTTTAACATTTTACCGAATTCAACCAAGTGAAAAGTGAATTATCATAACAGAATACGAATTGTTTTAAACAATAACTGATGTATTCTTATTACATTTTACAAGCCTATCTAGCGTGCTGAAAAATTATGTGAAATAAAACGCTTATATAAACCACGTGTTTTGTTCACCACAGGTGCCTATGGAATACGCGTTAAGAATTGTTTTGCTTTCAATAAGAAGAACAACAGCGTCAACCTTATCAACGAACTTGGGTAAGTGAACCCTGACATTACTATAGTATAATAGCCGACTCCTGCTGTTCCATATAGCACTGCAATTATATATATATATATGTGTGTGTGTGGGTGTGTGTTATTTTTTTAAGACTCAGAAATTATTGATTAATACCATATAGGTCGCTTTTTATTCTTTGCTTATATCCATCCGTTTCTAATAACATACTTGGTTAGTTATATCGATAATATATTTTTATGAGTTATTTCCCGTTTTCTTTACCGAAATTATTTCAACGCTATATTCTCTGCTATTATATGCCTACTATATGCCTTCTGCTTTATAAGTGCATCACATAAAACAGTTGCGGTCCTCTCTCGAATGTAAAATGGAGCATATAAATGCAGGTTCTCAATTAATACGATGCCACGGCCTTAGCTATAACTTGAATTGGACCGATATTTTTTTTTTCATACTTTTAAAGCAACAAGTTATTTAAATTAGTGATTACATTGATTTTTGAACTTCATTAGTTGATGAGTGAAACCTTTCTTTTTTGTTCATAATCTCGTCCAAGATGTTGGCTATATATTTAATATTTTCACACTTTAAACAAAACCAGTGACCTCTTAAACTTAACACCTGTGGACCACCTTTCGGAAGCTTGCGTACTACGTGTATCACGGACAACGTCGAACGACTAAGTTATAAAATCATGCAAGTCATGTTATGTTGGATCCGCGCTTCATGCTTACATTTTCGTTTCTTCAAACCTTTGTTTAGTGACTGATTAATATTATTATTTTTTTATTTTATTAATTAAATTTCAATTTACTTACTTCATTTTTACCAGTCCAATAATAAGAAAAGTCGATGAATTTTTGAAAAAAAAAGCTTAGATTATTTCTTCTTTGGTGATTTTTTCGGATTTGTTGAAAATAATATTACTATCAAACAAATTGATAAGAGTTAAGAGAAAAAGTAAATTCAATGAATTTTTCAAATGTATAAGAGAAATAATAAGAGAAGTCAATGAATTTTTAAAGAAAAAGCTTGGATTATTTCTTCTTTGGTGATTTTTTCGGACTTGTTGAATATAATATTACTATCAAACAAATTGATAAGAGTTAAGAAAAAAAGTAAATTCAATGAATTTTTCAAATGTATAAAATAAACAATAATATAATTATGCAAAAACGTTGATACAGCCAATGGGAGGGCATGGCACACTAACCCCCCCCACTATGGCTACGACACTGCTCTCATAGACCCTTTGTGAATACATCCATACAGGTCTTGTGTTTTTTTGTTATTATTTTTATTTATTTATTTTTTTTACAGTTGTCCCGTCAACTCGAAAGTCATCACGGCGTTCAAGTACGACACGAAGTCCGGGTACGCGGACGCTGTACTCTCGTCCATGTTCCGGTTCGCGGACAGCCCAGAGCTGTACTTCCAGTGCGACATCGAGGTATGCCGAGGCGCGTGCCCAGAACCCAATTGCGATGACGGTGGTGTGTCCACGCTGCAACAGACGCAGCAAATAGCCAGGGACGCATTCGCGGTCGACTCCCAGACGGACAACGGCACGCTAACGGCTAGCACCACAGTTTTCGTGCTTGAACCCGGCGAGACGGCTCGCAGTCTAACGCTGTGTGATGAACAGGCCGACGGCATACGGCCCCCGTGGCTGCTCTACTTGTGCATAGCGTTCGGGCTCATGTTCCTCATCATGCTCGTCATCAACGTGTTCCTGTGCTCGGCGATGACGTGCTCGTGCGCGCGCACCGACATCATCGAGAAGGAGCCGAGCATCATCGAGGACTACGACCCATACCGCAGCTGGCACGGTTCTCAGTACGGATCCCGGTAAGTGTGATGTGTGATGCGGTGTAGTAGTAGAAATAGTATTAGTAGTAGTAGTCTATATATGGTTTCGTCTGCAAACTTTTGTCCGTCGAAGCGCATTATTATTATTGTCAGTCAAGGCCGGATTAAGGGAGGGTCTAGCCGGGGTGGTAGCCCCGGCGCCCTCTTGAGTATCCAAGTGAAAGGGGCCCAAACAATTTTTAGCCGATACACATTTTTTATCATACTAAAATTAGTAGTTTTATAGACATAAATTGTATATACTTATTAATCTTATAATTTTATAATGCAATTGACAATTTGTGAAATAGTTAAATATGTATCATTCTGCGAGCGTAACGAACAGTTTTATAAAGCATGTTTTGTCAAAAAGGCTCATATAAAATTTCAGCCCCGGGGCCCAATAGGTGCTTAATCCGGCCTTGTTGTCAGTTATTACTACAAACGCACTTTGGATAAATTCATGGCTACTATTAGCCGAAAAATAAATTCTTTGAGAGTTTTGAAACAAAAATAGTTCAAGTTTTCTCGGCACACCGTTTTGGACCCCAAACACTAGTCTGTATATTATAATATAGTCAGCCAAACGCTGTTCGAGCACCACCCTTCTTATCATGATTAATTGAGTTCGGGTGTCTGTGGGTTTTATTATTTTCAATATTGGCTGAGAAATGTTCCATGACAAGTTATTATTCCAAAAATAAGTACCTACACCAGACATTATAAATTATACGTAAACAAAAACCATGAAAGTAAATAGGAAAAACGTCGACAAACGGATGTACTTATAACATGCAAGTGCGCGAAGAAAAACACCCCATTCTACTGATTTATCGATTCTTTTTTTCGGAAACGTGTTCTAAATATTTGTTTTGATTTTTATTATATATATTGTCCACGTGTACAGATATAAATATCTGAAAAATGAACCAATATAAAATAATTATTGATTACCGGTTATTTGATTATTAAGTGAATTATTGTAGAACAATATACTGTCTGCAGTCTATATTTCGTAAATATTTAATAATAACTTATCATTATTAATCTTTGAATTTAGGTATTCATTGAATGGCAAGCCGGGATACGTGTCGGGTGGTTCTACAATGAATTCCACTCGTTCTATGTCGACCAACAGCGACCATTATGCGATAGTACATTCCCGACCCGGTAGCCGATACTCAGGCACAGCCAAACATCAGCCGCATATGAGAGGACCCCCGTCTAATATGGGATCGCATTATTCTGGAAAGTTGTAAATGTATATAATGTATTAATAAGTACTATTAATTAGTTAAATCGTCATTTATTTTATATAAGTAAATTAAACGATTTTACCTGTTTTGGACATAAAATATTTATACTAATGTGTATTGTGTATGTATATACGTATTTATACATATATATGCATTGTATGGTTAAAATTATCATACTTAATTTTAAAGAGAAATATATTTTATAGTCTCTCAGAAACTTAGTTGCCATTATATTTTTCTATTTTCAATAATAATTATTATATATTAATAAATAATTTAACGTGTATAACTTTAATTATTAATAGGTAATATATATGTTATAAATTATAATAGTTTAATCAATTAACTTCCTATTATTGATGATTAGAAAATATAATAATGTCTAACTACATATAATACATAGTTTTACAAATCTAAAAATGTATTACAACGTTGTGCAATTCGAATTCAATTTTTATAGAGGCGATCTTGTGTACTCAAGAAATGTCATTACATCACTGAATTAATGTTGTTATAGTTTATACATTTAAAATTTTATACGTATGTTACATTTATTATAATTTATTTTTTAAGAAATTAGTTACCTCTTCTGTCTTCAAATTTTTAAACAAATATGTAAATAAATACAGTCAGTAAAATAAAATGCTTGTGTTTTTTAATATTTATATATATTTATACGTATATTTAACAAACTGTTATACATTTTTTTTTTTTACTATGATTATTTTATTTAAGGAAAGGCTCAAAATCCCATGGAGCCCAATTAGCCCATACCTTCCGAATAATATTTACATGTTTTTCGCACACAGATACACCACTATAATAATAAAATGACTACAAAAGTAGGAACAAATCATAAATAATTGAAGCTATCTAAGAGAAATATAAAAGATTCAAAGAAGACATATTGGGACTAATATACTACAATATTTAATAAAAAATTAATGTCATGTTTATTTAATTATTTATACATTATAATTTATTGAACCTACTAACATATTTTGTTAAGATAGGCCCCAAGTGTATATTAGGAACTCCTTGAAATACAGGTCTATGTTCGTTTGTAAATATCAGTCATAAATTGAATTATTAATACGTATTCCAGCATTAAGAAATTTAACAAAATGTTTGTGCCGTAAAAAGAAAAGTAATGTTTTTTAATAAGTTTACAGACGAGCTAATTTTATTATTATGGTCTCCGTTATCTCGAGTACCATAATTTTTCTTCAGAAATTTTGCTCGTGTGGCCCATGATTATATTTTATTACATTGTCATACGAGTGTCATGTTTTAGGAGAAGTAAATTTTATGTATACAATAAAAATAATTGGAGTAATTACCATTTTAGGCACTAAACCAATATAACCTATTATTATGCCAACCGATTGATCGAATCTCAGTTATTCGCTCAGTCTATTCAACGCTTGAATGTAGGTAGATGTAGTAAATAATTAATACTAGTTGTGATTAAAGTGATTTATTTAAATTGTTCAAAATTATTCTAAGTACGAATTATTATTAATTTATATGAAATATTCTAAATCCTAATAATTTAATAAGCTGTTGAAAGTCTAAGTTCAGATCATAACATAAACTAGCGTGGAGATGCTCAGTGTCGCATAGTAAGAATTCATCTGATTTGCTCTTGTTTCCAGGTCTCTAATATACCCGACAGACGCAAGTGTGTATATAAACTGCAAATGTGTGAGTGTATGTGAAAAACGATAATTAAAAATAGTTAATTCTTTGATTGATTTTGTGTGTGAGATAGCGTATGCGTATAATGTTATAATATTTATTATATATAAATAAATATTATAATTATATAAATTTATTTCACAAATGTGGTACAAATGTGATTATTTAAATAATGTTTCCTTATTTGAATGACGTTTATGTGATATATTGTATATTGTTATCTTAATAGTCATTTATTTATTTCCTTGTACGTATGGTGACTGCTTAGTTAATACGCAGTGTTTTTATAGTGCTAAATACGCGGGTTACGACACTATAATAAATGCATTTATTAGAAATATTTAATGCGATTTGTTGAAATTTTTCATCGCAAATGTTATTAAAATACACCTAATTTTTATGAATAATGATCAAATTATGGATGCTTTGAATGTCAATAAAGATGTATCCAATTTTTAATTTGTTTACGATTCTGATTCAGGTCCTGACTTCAATTTAAGTCTCTCGGTAAGTTATTTTAGACATTTTATTTCTCCATACATTTTTATACTTATAGTAATTATATTTAATATAACTACTGTAAATAAAAATAATAAATAAAATAATTATAAAAAAAATAATAAATAATAAATATAATATAATTTATGATATAAATATTTTTTTTTATGGTATGTAGGATAGCGACTCAGTATATATTGTTCTGTACATTATTTATAACTCAAATGACGATGATGATACTTACCTCTAATGTGTCCAATATTCTTACAGCAATTTTAATAGTCACTCTAACTGAATCTTATTAATGTTTTTAATATGTATAAAATGTAAACAGTCCTGTTTTTAATACATAACTAGGGTTACTATATTAGGCTAGGGTCTCGTTAAGACGTTCTAAGAATTCTAGGATGGATTGTATAAAAATACTTAATTTTTTAATAATAACTGTAACTCTTTATTTTAAATCAAATATTTATTTATTAGGTTACATAAAAAAAAATATTTATAATTTATTGAACAGTACTTGGATGGCCACATTTTTCCGAAGATTTTACTTTTTTCAATAGTTCTTTGTTCATATTTGTAGAACTCTGGCCAAGTTATGTTTTAGGCAACTTAAACACTGTAAAATCGACCCCATAATCTGGGAGCAGGCGATTTCGTTCATTAGTCCACTAGGTAGACATTAACAAAGAACTCTTATCTATACGTTTAGTCGCAAAAGTTTAAGAACATAATTTTATACTTTCGATCGCATATTCGTATGGAATAAAAAAAAATTTGTGAAATTTGGAATGCACAGTTTTAATTGGGACATTTTAGTCTTTTGTCGGGACATGGAGACAAAAAACTTAAAAACGGTGACAATACCGATATATCGGGACGGATGGCAACCCTATACATAACACAAAATGAAACGTTTGAAGGATGTCCTATTCTATGATTCTTTAATTAATAAAACAACATTTGATTTTTTTTCTTTATTTATAAATAACGAAATTTTATATGTAATGAAATTAATAAATATGGCAGTAATTTATGTTCATTTTTTTTTAACATAATTTAAAATTTAGATTCAAAAATAAACTGGTCAATGTTGAGTAAATTAAATCATATTTAGATACCGTAATGTGAAGGTATGGATATAACTCTACAATATAATCCTAGTTCATATTGAAGTAAACACTTTTTGTACCATTCTGAAACTCAAGAACACATAATAAGGTCGTTTTGAATTTTTACTTAGAACTTTTCATTGTTCAAATAATATACATTTTTACAAAGGTGACAGACTTCAAATATTTCGAAGTTTGATTGATTTATTTATTGGTTTGTTTAAAATATGTACATCAACAAATCTATAATTCTGTTATTTCATCAGTGTAATAAAAACAAATTATATTGGTATGGAATAAAAGTATTAATTAATGAATAATATGGTTGAAATTGAAATGTTTGTTTACTTGTTAACAACTTTTTTCAAGTCTCTTTTTTAGTAAAATTCTATTAATGACAAAGCTTCATTGTTCTCTCATTCTAACTCCTTAAAAGTTGCAACATGGTTACAACTAAGGTAAAACTATTTATATTTTTTTAACATGAACATTTAGTTTAATAACAAAACTATACATTTTTCTTTTTTATAGAAATTATAATTTTATTTTACAATAATTTTTCAAGTCTCATTCAAGTTTATTGATTAAATTGTTTACAATTAAAATTATACAAAAGTATCTAAGTTTATAATTGCTAAATATATAACTTTAAAATTGTATACAAAAATAAATGTGTTCGATATAAATTAATATTTTAAATATTTAAATATATTATAATATAAAAATGGATGGATTGTTTTCTATAAATCACAATTGAATTACAAATAATATAAAAGTTAAACATAATAAATAAACTATTTTAATACCTAATATTAATTTTTAAAAAAATATACTTTATATTAGTACAAAATAACTAAGAATTAAACAAATATATAAGAATATTGATCAACACATATTGTGGATATCAAAATATCAAAAATTAAATTGTTTTTTTCTCATTGTGCCTTTTTTTGTTTGGTAACAATTATTAATTTTTTTTGTTTAAATCTCTACATATATACATCTATTGATATTAATTGATTCTAGTTATTATTCTAAGCTATTAAGAAGTGGGTACTTGTCAGTTATCTGAACTAGAATACAATTATACATCCTGTAATTACTACAAGAAATCTTAAAATTTGTATATTATTCTTTCAAAAAATTAATAAATCCAGTATCATATATTTTATACTATATTGTTAATTTAGATCATTCAAATACTAGTGATTATAAGCCAATAAAATTACCATTAAATAGTTAAAATATTTATAAAAATACTTCAGTATACTCTGTTCAATGAGATAATGCACATCTGTTTATCCCCACCACACTATATCTTACTGCTTACAGCCTAGTAGAGACGTTATGAACAATGAACAACGCCTGACAGATTTTAATTGAAAAATATGTGTATTCTTTCGGTGAACAAAGTATAGCTGAGATTACTGACAATTACCAACATAAACCGTGCATTTTATATAATAAGTATATGAATTATTACACAGTAAATATGTATGTGATAAAGCTTATAAAATTAATTATAATTTAGTATGACATACCATAAATTATTTATAGCATAACAGTAAATAAAATAGCAAATGAGAGCATACTTGTTGAAATAATTAAAGTTGAAGACCTCCCATATTTAAAAACTTGTATATAATTGTCTGAATGAACCCATGGATTTGCTCCATCATCAAAATACATTGGGCATTGATCTCCTAAAATATAAATTTTTTATTATTAAAAAATTTATACTTAAATTTCACAAACAACCAAATCACTCACGTTCACGTTCATATTCAGTCATTTCAACAGCAACAGTAGCTCCTTGTGTATAGTTATTACTAAATGCATCTTGTTTCAGATCACAAAACGATCCTATGGCTTGAGACATGAGTACACGATTAAGATCAGCTCTTTGGTACACCCAGCATCTGTACATGCTAGCTGCATCAAGAGGATCATATGTTATTAAATAGGATTTCAAATTTTCTTTCCAATAACCAATGCACTGTAATCTATAGTCTGGATCACTGTAAATGTCTATAGGTTGACCACGATGATCCACATCAAGGCAAAATGATTCATCAATAGTAATCTCTTTTTGATCACCATCACAGGCAGCAAAATCTGATATTTTGTCCTTGCAAGAAATTTGTGGACGAGGTGATAATGTAACACCACCAAGAATACGAGTTTCAAACAAAAAATCACCTTTCTGAGTAAAGTTAAATTTTCCCGCAACTGGACATCGAACAGGGACAGGAGTCTTAGCTGAAAATATTTATTCCATAATGCATAATGTTTCTTCATACAATTTTTTATCTTTGAGTACACAAATACTTACAAACAAAAATATCGTATTTCCAATTATCTTTATTTGGAAACTGTACCCATGAGCATACTGTATGAAAGTTATCTTTAATAAAAGCTAAACCTTTTCTATAACGAATAATATTATGATGTCTTGGTACAAAATCAAAACATACATAATCTTTTTGGCTAAATAACATATAAGTAAATAAATAAAAAATTATATAAAATCACGATCAAATATAAATGATTCATACCATCCATCAACAGTAAGTCTAGCCATCATGTAACGAGATCCTCTCTGTTCACGACAGACATAAATTGTCCTTCTAAAACGTGCTTCATCTGGGTACCATGTTTCAATTACATGAGTTTCATTGATAAATACATCAGCATCCATATTAGCTGTATTCACCCAGTCACCACTAAAATTTTGTGGTAATCTACAACCGGGTTCTACGACTTCAGCTTTAACTGTACAAATTAATAATATTAAGGTAATTAAAAATGAATACGTATAAATAATAAATAATTATTAAATATATAAATTATTTTATTGAAGATGATTTAATTATTAATTACCAGGATTAATATGTAATCTCTCAGGACTTTTCTCAACTGTCTGAAGTGTGTTGCACTCTGCTGTTATAGACACTCCAATATATAAATCATCATCTCGATTTTTCAAAAAACATCTATATTTTTCATCTTTTCGAGATTCTTTAGTATTGGCTACAGCAAAGAAATGATTTTTGTCCACAAACCAATCTCCTAAACAACTGTACTCAACAACTAATAAAACATATTATAATTATATTAAAATTCTATAAAATGTAAAAGAAAATATAATATGTAATTTACCTCCATCAAATGTACCAGTCATACCCGGGCATTTTTTATATGTTATATTAAATTTTTGATTAGTTATTAAAAATTGTGTTCCAGCTGTCTGACATGATTTTATTTGAGCTTCAGGATTATTACATTCACCAGTAAAACGGAAACGATTCTGTTAACAAAAAATAATTATAAGAAAAATTGTTAAAAGGATATTAAAAAATATGTTTAAAAATGTTTTTAACAATATAATAAATAAAATGAAAAATTAACTTCCGTTGAATATATTAAAATTATGTTACTTGGTAAGCAAACTGCCAAACACCTTCAAGACTAGACCGACAATTTACTGGTATGTAATTCTCAGAAAATAATGTGATTAATTGTGTGTCTTGAAATTGACATATTTTGTCAGGAGATTCGGCTTCATTCGGATTTAATGTCATACAAACACCTAACATTTTAAAAATGTAAAAATATACCATACAATATGGACATTTTATGTCTTAAAAAAAACTTACTTTCCATTTTATCCAGTACATTTACAGTACGTACCATAAATTTAACACAAGTATAGCAATCTTCAGCATTTTTTTGAAAGACAAATGTGAAATTCACTTGATTTTCTTCCATTGATCTAATACAAGTACCTCGTTTAGACATACTTGTAGCATCAACTTCTGTTGTAGTACTACGGCCATTTTCCCATGAATACCACTGCCCACGAATTACCAATGGAATGTTACATTTAGTATTTTTCTTGTTCAGTTCATAACTCCCACATACTAAAATTATAAAAGTCAATAATAATTTAAGTATACAGCTATTTTCTAGCTCCTAAATGTTTGTCAGTATATCAATTATCAGAAACTTATACTTAAGTAAGTAAGTATATTTCATTATTAAATTAATAATAAAGTTTATTAATTGACTTGATAAAATTAAAGAGTTCAAAGGTTTTAATTTGTTTTCTTAAGTCCTTATCTAAGTATCAGCTTATATATAATTAATAAAGTTTTTTTTAAGAACAAATGAGTATAGTTGCTTATCTTAAAGGACACACCATTCTAGAAATAATACCATGTAATTAATGGTTTAAAATACTCACATGAAGATAAAAAGAATGCAGTTAGAGTGAATTTCAGTAGGACGTGCATATTGATTATTAATAAAGACGCCAAAAAAATATTAGTTCTAAAATCAAATCATTTAAAATAAATATTAAACTCTAGACCAAGGATTATCCATAACATTATTTGAGAGATTCCTTCGAGAGAAAGTGTGGAGTATAGATCCTTGCCACTACGATGCAGATCTTTATTTCTTGCCCCTCAGTAGTTGGGTGTTCGGAGAAGTCTTAAGTAGTAAACACAACACAAAACAATTTGATAGCCACAGGTAGTATAGATACGCCCATATATGCGGTAACGGAACAACACAGATTACGTTATTTAATGTAATCTGTGGTAACAATAACAATATCTATAAGACCAAAGTTCATAAAAACAGATCCTGCGTCAATTAGTTCCCCATCGGATATCTTAATAGCGGTAGAAATAACCAAATTAGTACATGATTTAATGTCGTTTAGAACATCCTTGTGAACAAAAAAATGCTTTATAGCACGTCGGATGTAAACATACTTTACTCGATATCACGGTTAGAACCACGGTCTTAGAAGATATCTTCTAGGACTGTGCTCGATATGAAACTGTATAACCTCAAAACACCGGCGAAAACGTCGGATCGACGTTATCGATATCTAGCTGTTACCGCTTACCAATGCAGTAGCCGACATTCAACTCGCCATTCAATTTTTAATTCGTAACGGATAATTGGACTATAATTTTATTTTGTTGTGTCGCTTACTTAAAAAGTGTTCTTCGGTCAACTAAAATCAGCCTTATTCGCGAAGTGATACGGAAATGCTTAATTGATCGTATTAACATCGAAAATACGAAAAACACCGAACAACAGAATGACGTTCCGGTCGAAAATTTTTCTCACAAGAAAAGTGAAGTCGATAATAAGTTCGTTCTTGCTCGTATATGCAATAGGATTTTTGCTGTCTGTACCATCGATTTTCAGTCTCTCGTTCAGCTGGTATCCGGTATTGTGTGCACCGGCAGTGTTGATATCTGTAACATTGTTCATCACAATTGTGTCTAACAGTTACATCAGTTCAAAAACACACTGTCCGAATCGTTTCAGCCTAGTTATCAGAGGGTTGTCAATTAAAACGATTTCGTCTGCAGTTGCTTACTCAGCTAGTGCTTGGTTATTGTGCTATGTAAATCCATTTTGTCGCGGAGAAACAGGTTGGAATCTACTCCGTGTTGGATGTGCTTTTGCAGGTGTTTTGTTTTGCTATGAAAATTACTATTTAAATGATCAAGAATATCATTTCCCCATCATTCAAACCACCAAATATTCAATGTTCATGTCAACACTTACAAAGACATTATTGAAATCAATAAAGAAATCATTTGTGTATATATTTATCATATATTTCCCGTTGTATGCTGTTGAACCAAAATCGTGCACTACTGTTTATTTTTTTACCGTTTTGTGGTTTTCAATATCTTTAATCTTATATTTTTTCTATTCATTTGAGTTTATTACATATATAACTATGACTGAACGGATTGTATTTCCATTTGTAAGTATAAAACAAGATTGTGATTGTTTAATAAATGCATTGGAATCCGATAATAAGATTATCAAATCATTAGCATTGTATGATTTGTATCAAGCTACAATTAAAGATGTAGAAAGAAGAAAACAGATATTTAGTTTAAGTTTTGCAGGAAATGTTCCCATGTGTTGGAAAATTATTTTCAATTATTGTATAAATAACATTAAATGTTATACTAAAGACAATACAAAACAAGTAAAACCTCTATTTTCAATGACCTGTGGTCGTCGCAATTTACCAAATGCTAGATTAATACATATTAATACTGATGTTACTAGCAAACAAGATGCAGATAATACAATTCAACAAAACAAATTAATAAAAATGTTTGAAAAATTTTATGTGTACAATTATTTGTTTGGATCATTGGCTAAAGAGAATCCACTTGAAGAGTTAGAAGCAACAGTTTGGTGTTGTTATATACTTTCAAACTTGGCTGTAGTTTCATTAAAGGAAGATGAATATGGTGTGGTCAGAGAACAATTAGGACAAATTGTTAGCACTATTTTAGATTTTAATAATCAATTAGAATACCAAAAAAGAAATATAGAAATTCAAAAGACAAAGAAGATTACATATTTAATTATTCATGTTAAGACTTGTGTTGTAATGCTAGCATTGAATTTTGCTATGTACGCCAATGATATTGGATTAGATGAAACTCAACTACGAAGTTTTAAAAAAATAATAGCATTAAATAATTATTAACAATTTCCTTAATATAAATTATAACTATATTATATTGTTTTAAATAATTATTTTAATATTATAATGAAGAATAGTTCTATACTTCATCCATATGTTGTTAACTTCATTAAGTTGCTTTAAGAATTCTCTTGTAAATTTAAAATGTATTATATTGTTTTGTAAATAAAGTCTTGTGATGTTTTAATAAATATTTTGTATACTCAACTTAATTAAATAAAGACACTAATTAAGGTTTAGCATTTTAAATCTAATTTACTTATAATTTTTTGTATATGTACAATATAAATAAAAAATAAGAAAATTTGATGATCAACTACAATCAGCTGAATTGCAGAAATTAAGATTATTAATTTAATCTTAATCTTTTATTTTTTAAGGATTGTATAAAATATTTTTGATATCAAGTAGTTTTTTGATTGATATTTGAGAGATTTAGATTAGTTGCTCAATATTTCAATGCGTCGAGTTGCTCTTGTTATCATATGGTTTATACATAAAGAATTCAACTGGATAATTTACAAACTAAATATTTATGACAATCAATATCCGTTAAAAATGCACATAGTGGTTCAAATTGTATTACATAGGTATAATTATACCTTTTTTATCGGTTTTACGTGTAATGCATAAAAAAAATAGTAGGTCATATATTATTTATGCTGTTGTGAGTTGATACATAAAATAAATATATTTAATCTATAGTTAATTTCGGTGGCGCAACTAGAGGTTGGTTTTGTAACTTCCCTCCAAAAACATTTTTCTGAGGTTTTTACAAATTCCACGTAAGAAATAAAATGGTTTATCTTGAACACGCGAAACGGCTTAATGATATAAAATAGAGATGTGTCGTTCATGAACGAACTAGTTCAATTGAACTATTCACCCAAGTGACCGGTTTCATACTAGTTCACTTTTGATGAACTCGTTCACCGTTCACTTTGTACTTTTTATACTATACTATGCGCTGCGTACTTAATCATTCATGAACGATTCCTTGATACGGAGTAATAATTATTGAACTAGTTCGTTCATGAACAATTCTTTGATACTGAGTATGTATTCATACGAACGAATCGTCAAATATATGAACGATGAACGACTGAACTAATTCACCTTAATGAACGATAAGTCCCATCTCTAATATGAAACATGAATACAATTTATTTATAATATTAATAAACGGAGAGTAGAATAGACGGAATAATTTAAAGATAACAGTTGGTATCTTAAATGATAAATACATTAACACAGTACAATATCTAGATATTAATCGTACTTTTTGGGTTATTGAAACAAAATGGAGTATTATATTAAAAGTGTAAAAGTGCAATCTATAAATTTAAATTTATTTATTATACATTTCATACTCCTTGAATACATTTAATTAATTTAATTTAATTTAATAACAATTATTATTAATTATTTTAAGAATCATAATACAATAATTGAAAAATAAAAGAAATAACAGAATTATGTTTATAAGTTAAACGAATCGTCTTTAGTTATTCCAGGTTGTTGAATAATATAAGATCCAGCATCTATTCCACAGCTCACACACTCTTCAATTGGACATCCCAAGATGTATTTACTGATAAACCCTAAAGTCCAACAATTATTTTTGAAATTTAATAAAACAATGTAGGTACTATACATATATTTTTTTTTTAAACAAAATAAATAGTCATCTCACCACCAATAAAAGCATCACCAGCACCATTGGAGTCTATAATTTTATCTGCAGGAATTTTATTCACTGAATATTTTGTAACAACTCCATCTAAAAATGATTTAAATAATTAAATACAAGACTTGAAAACATTTATTCAACTCAAAATACTAAAAACAGATGCTCTAATGTTGTTTTACAGAAGTTTGAACCATCTCACCTTTCCCTTCCAGAAGCTATTTACGTAGCAGGGACAATTATGAAGAACTATAAATATTTATTAATTTTTTTTTTTTTTTAAACCATTAATGATATGAAAATCTCTGTAATTATTGATAGTTATTATTTTCAGAAATTAAAAATTTAAACATATATATAACACCAACACTACACAGTTCATGATAGCTTATAATATAGAATTAAATAATGTCTAAGAATTTATAAATAGTATTTGTAAAAGTATAATATATTTACTTTGCGTAACAATTACTGGGTTTTCGCCTTGAGTAATTACAACTAAACGATTTCCAATATTCTCAACATCAAATGTGCTCATTTTACAAGCTATTTTTTCAACACTGTCTAAATTCCATTCATATCCATCTGAAAAAGCTTTTGCTTCCTAAAATAAATAGTTACTTTATACTAATTAATAGAAGGTTATATTTAAATTTAATATAAACTATTATATAAACTAACTTCATCATTTCCAACAATAATATTAACAAAAGGAAAAATTGATTTAACCGAATCCATACAAAATTTAAAAACAAACGAAGCACTCATATTAAATAAAAATGTACACTTTCGTTCAAAAGCTATCTTTACCAATATTTGAACAGCTTTTGGATTAACTTGAAGAAAAAACCCCTATGACAAAAATAAAATAAATTTTAATTATTATAAGACTTATTACTATAATTAAATTTAAATGATCATAAATATAACTAAATAAGTAATTATTTTTATGCTAATGAACCAATATTTTGATAATATTACTATTATTATAATTTTTAAGATACAATGATTACCAAATCTAGGGAGAGAAGTTGGTATGCTTATCCCTGTCGTTCGTAAGTTTAAGAACAAATAAAAAGTCATGAACATACCATGTACTTCCCCTTATGGAGGGGGCATTACATTTTTATTAACCTCAGACTGAATATAATATTTACTAACATGCTAATAATGAATTATAAATAGATAAACAGAATCATGATAGAATAAATATAAATAAATAAAATACATGAATCTAAGAACATGTTAAATAGGTAAATTAAAAATAAAAAAAATATGATTATTTGCATTAAGTAACACTGAGTAACCCTTATACCTTGAAGGAAAGGAAATGAAAATTAGTAGAAATAAAATAAACGAAGTATATAGAGTATGACTTTGGAAAAAGATATTAAGAAGTTGTGGGTATAAAGAGACCAATGATAATTAGTGATGAGGAGATAGGTGAAGTCAATAACTTTAAATATTATGGATCATTTGTACAAAATGTTAGGGATTTTGGCAAAGTAAGAATTATTATGAAAATGAACATTGTAGGGAAAAGAGGAAGAGGAAGACCAAGAAAGAGATGGATGAATACGATTAAGAATTATATGTAGACTGTTGGTGTGTACTTAGAAAATGTAGAAAATCGAGACAAGTATAGGTTTACAACAAGAGTGGTCAACAGCAAATAATTGGAGAAAGAGGAAGGAGAAGAAGAAAATATAAAATAACATTGTCAAGAAAAACTATTTGAACATTAATAAAATGTAATATTTATAAATTGGCATTTTCAGCATACAGTAACTCTAAAGACATTTATTTACAATTTCCATAGTAAATATGTTAAAATAAATTTTCATAATGTAAATCACTCTGCGAAGTTGGTAGAAAATTAAATTCTATACTTACTGTAACTAAGTAAAATGATGCATTTTCAATTATAGACTTATTTTCTGGAACTTCTAAATGGTCTTCAGTAAAAGTCTTTGCAGCTGATAAATTAGCACATAAAGATCGATCTTTACCATTATTTGTGACCACAACAGCACAGGTACCTAAATTTTATATTTATGTAATTTTACTTCACTAATTTCATAAAAATTAAATTATTACCAGTAGGTTTTTCTGTTGAATATTGATATTTGGTATCTAATCCATCTTCATTAGCTTTTACTTTCAAAATTTCACTGAATTTATCTTTACCAACAGCACCAAAAAATACTGATACATTAGGTTTTTTTAAAATCCACTAAATGTTTTTTTTATAATCAAATTAAAAAATAATAACGCTAAATTTTTTTATTTTTTTTTAAATCATCTCTGAAAATACCTGAACGACTCTTAAAGAATTTTGGGCTGAACCTCCAGCAGTATATTCTACTTTTGAATTATTCATCAGTTCTTCATAAAGAGGCATGTGTTTATTGTCTGCCAAAATAGCATTGTTACTTAAAAGATCATATTTTTTTAATAAATTTTGATCACCAACTACCATCATATCCAACAATGGATTACAGAAACCCACAATTGTTCCCGGTCTAAAATTAAATAATAATATCGCCATATATATATATTATATTTGTCAATTAAATTTCATAAATTTTAATTTTAAATTATAACTTACTTTAAAGTTTTAGAATCGCCCATTTTAGCACTTATTTTTCGATAACTCTGAAATAAAAAAATTGAATAAAAAAATTAATAGCTAGAATTTAATGAAAGCAATCGAATGGTTTGAATAACCAATAGAAACCGCTTGAGAACTAATTATTATTACACAATTAAATTTGTTTTTATCTCAAATTACTTATCAAAATTAGTTAAAACCGATAAACCTTTAAAAATAATAATGATTTAAAAGCAAACATAAGTGTTATACATAATTTAATTAGACGCATTGGAATACAAGGAACAGTTAAAATATTAAAATATAATGTATGAATTCTCAACTAATAGGTACCTTAAGCGTTAATTCGTGTTTATAATAATTTTGAATATGAAACATCAAACATTCAGTAACAGCTAGGCCTTTGATTGCTTTGGAGGTTATGCACATGATGTCATGATAGATAGTAGATACCGCCCAAACGCATGAAATAGTGGCCTCAGGTCTTAGATTACGGTCTCTGCATTTTTAACATTTAATATTTATCAAGAATTCAAGAATATTAAGTAGCTAATATAAACACATTGACATTTATTTTTAAGTGTGAATAGTGTAATCGTAAACATTCAACATACTTAAAAAGTCATTCTATTATAGACAATAATTTATTGACAAATAACGAATAAATACTCGAAACAAAACAATATTGTTATAGCAATTATGAGTTGACGACGTCGTGTTTACTAACCATATTTTTTATAAATTTACAACATTGAATTGATTTTTGTATTTTATTAAATCTAATGTTTTATAGTGTCGAAATGAATGCTGAAAACTGTTGATGAGTATTTATGACCCGTCAATTGAAAATGAATACACCTAAATAGATAATAGATTATAATTTTATAAGCGTATTAAACTCACATTAGTTTAAACTATTTACATTAAAATATTAAATGTGTTGATGTTGGTTATTTTTAACTACATATTGTCGGATTCAGTGGCGCCGAGCCCTATGCATAGGTCAGGCTGAGGATCAGAGAGGTTGGTCTATGGTTCGCACTTAACAAACGATAAATAGTGAATTATAACATAACACATAATATATTTTGCGGAACGGTACTATACGATATCTGTCGGTACGTGTCTGACTATTACAGTATAAATCATGCTTAATATTTGTAATTTGAGAGCAAAAATTATTTTTCTATGTAAAGTAAAAATGTAGGCTTGTGGCCGCTGGGGTGTTGAGGCCGTTGTATTTTTATTTGGCCTGAAAACAATTTTGAAAGTTCGACACCGCTGGTCGGATGCGTTTTATGACTCCGACATAACCAATCATTTTATGTGAACATTTTTTGTATTTAATGCATTTTGTGTACAGTTTAAAAATACTAAATCCTAAAAAACAAATTCATTAAGGCATTATTCTTCAGACTACTTAGGATTCTGAGTTTATAACTCTGTAAGTATTATTATCCATATTTATATTTAATGTATAAATTTAAATCTACTGTACATAACGACAAAAATTATACCTATATTATACAAATATCTCAATAAAATGAAAAATGCCAGGAAAATTTTATAAATTAAAAAGAAAAATAATTACATGCAAAAAAAAGAGAAAGGATTTTGGGTGATCCAAGGAATTATTTAGTTTTATCTAAGTGATTTATTTTTTCTGCCATTTACGTGTTGATAATTAAATATTTAATGTTTATTTAATATTTTATGTACCTTAAATTTTTAACCATGTAGAAATGAAATTAAAAACTGCAGATGGTGCTTTTAAAGTCATATTTCTATATTCTACGAAATATCCTAAAAGTAAAATACCGAAAAAACTTGAAATAAGTGTTTATTATTTTATTCCAGCACATAATTTTGGATTTGATGGTTTGTACGGAAAATAAAAATACACAACTCAACTAAATTGCAGCTCGAAAGTTCGAATACATTATCAGCTTTTAAATTAACATTTTTAAAATAATATTTGTTGTACCAGTGGCATATTTTTGAGAGGGAGTCGGAAGAAGGTTCGTCATAAATGACTTACTACGAAGATAAAGACAAAGATAACATTAATTTATACCATGTGATTGTAATGTTTGTATAAAAATAGATTACTAATATATATATTGTAATAGTTATTATATTGTATATGTATATTTTAAATTATAAAATTGCTTATATTTTAGAAAAAAATTTGAAAATACGTTACTGGGCAGTTTCTTATATTTTTATTCTATGCTGTGCAATAAAGAAATACATTTTTTTATTCTAAAAATCTTAGATATATATATTTTATCAATACTGTCAGGTATGCTTTCTCAACTTGATATAAATAATTTAACATAATAATGTTAAGAATTTTATTTATTAACATGATAACATTGTAAAATTAACAAACACAATTATTATCACAACCTATTGACACATAATTCCAGTTATTAAACGAACATAATCAGTACAGAAATTATTAAAAAATTATCATCATTGAATATGGTTCCATAATTTAATTTATTGTTGTGCCATTTGAATATTAGATAGTAAAGCCCCAAAAGGGCTGTGGAAATTCAATTTAACTAATTTTAAAACAAATTAGTTTTCATATTATACTAATATTAATTAGTAAGAATTCAACGTTAATTTGATAAATAAAAATAATTGATATTAAATTCTAATTTTTATTAAAACATTTGCATTATTGCTTACAATATTATAAGTTTACAAATTCTCAACTAACAGTACCTCAAACTAGTCCATTTTCATAAAATAAAAATTATATACTATTTATTGATAAAAAAATAAAATAATATGTTATAGTTAAATAATTGTAGTACTTATAATTGAAGATTTCAGTAAAGTGTATTAATATAATACATACAATTTTATGCCATGTCTATCACTAATATACTTAGAAGTATCACTATAAATCATATCATAATATTTAAATCATCCTTAAATCTCAGTTTTCTTACACATCGATTCTTAATACATAAAACCTAAAAACTATTATTTAAATTTGCATGCAGCCAGATAATATCTAAAATGTATATCAAATTTTAAATCTAGTTAAGCAGTATTCATTGCATTAATTTATTCTGTGTCTATAAATTATTGATTATGTAAATTAGTATTTTGTATACCTTAAAATACAAGACATATTTGCAGATTACAATTTAAAATATTCTTTGTAATTTAAAAATGACAAATATTTTCATATGAAATGTTATACACATAAAAATCTATTATAAATTAACATGAAGCAAATTTTATACAAAATATGTTTATTAATAATTAAAAAAAAAAATTATATTTTTTAAAACATTAATATCATGATGGAAAGAGCACTAATTATCCATCATTACAAATCATATTGCTTAACACTTCCAAAATCAATCTTTTATCACTAAAAATGTGATAAATAATATTAATTGATTTAATATTTATGGATACAAAATATATTTTACCAATATAAAGTCAAAACAATTTAAATAATAAGATTAATACTAGAAATACAGCAATTCAGGATACAGTTTAATTGTACATACATAATTATTATATTGTTTTAAAAAATAAAAATCAATTATTTTAGTTGTTTATCTGAAGTTAGCCCATATATCTGACTACAATCCATATTTTTAGTTTTTAAAAAAAAATCTTCGACTTCTTTCGCATAAACTTCTTGGAATGTTTGTCCCTTTGGTACAATAAAATATGATGCAAATTTATTGAACACAGTTTCAGCCTTACGTCGAACTTGGGTTGCTTTTTCAGTATGTTCAATAATTTCCTCTTCACTTAGATTCCACTCGTTTGCATTACCAATATATTTTGTTACTTTTTTAATGGTATCAACAATTTCTTGATGTTTTTTTAACATAAGAGCATTAATTTGTAATTCACTAATTCTTTCAAGTAACTCCAATGCTGCTTCGCAATCGGCACTATCAGTTCTTAATGCTGAACGTAATTTATGTATATAATCCAGTAGATCAACTTCTGTGTGTAATATTTCAACTTTCGATATTTTTTTTGTGCCAGTTTTTTTCCATCCAGTTTCAATATTTGATAAAGCACCTGTCATGAGATCTTTTAATGCAGCTGGTAATTCTTCATCTTCATCAATCTTCTTGCTAACTTGGTTCAATTCTTTGGTTACAGTATCATTTATATGTGGTTCTAATGCTGATCCATGACTTTTGGGTGCCTTTTTAGTTTCTGGGTTTTCTGAAAAAACAAATTTAAGGTATTAGCTTTTATTTATAGCACTCCAGTAAATGTATAAATGTATTATAAATATAAGATATTACGTAGAGACATTATGCTTAATAGTAACTATGATGTTCCCCAATGATACATTAATTAATAATAAATAATAATACATTAATTAACTTTAGTTGTTTTTCTATTCCTGATAACATATAGCAATATCAATACTTTATATACAATAATTTATAACAAAATGAATACAAAATAAAAAATAATTTTTCACAATTTAATACTATATTTTTTTAAATTGAAATTATTTTATAAAAATCATAAAAAAAAATCTTTTAAATCAATAATTTCTTACTAAAGCTTAAAAATAAGTATTAAATTAGGCACAACAATACAAGTTCTGATCTTTGTAATCAATTAAGCTTAATCATATCAATAATACCCTTAAAATTGCTGATCTGACAACAATATCATTATAAGTAGGGTTCGGAAGTCATAGGAATTGCATATTGTTCTCTATGCTCTCAATTTATAGTAAATCAAGCTAGAAATCCGAGCTATACAATTTTGAGTTTAAAAATTGAAAATTAAAAATTCATATTTTGTAAATTTAATTAATTTTAGAGAAAAAGTGCATATTTTATCGACTATCAATGATTTTCGCATATTTGTATGCATATTTAATATTTTTTTAAAAAAATTAAGTTTTTTTATTCATAACCAATTACTAATTAATTTTAAATAAAGTTACATAACACAACACTAATAACGAGGAAAACATGCATTATATAAAACTCAATATTATTTTTTATGTTTATTCATTGTTATTTTTGATTACCTACAATGAATTTAACAAAAATATTGATGGTTCAATGCAACAGCTTAATAGGTATTATACAATATATATTTATTATATATTTTACAAGTAATGAAAATATACTATTTTTTCAGTTTAATAAAATCTCAAATGTCAATCGGTATGGGCCATATTTTAATTTTCAATAATACAATTTTTTTAATTATAAATTTTTAGAATTTACTAATTAACTTATACTAATTAACAAATATTTTTTTGCATATTTCACACTTTTTATGCATATTTTATAGTTTTTTCATGCATGTTTGCATGCATATTTTGCCTTTTTTGGTTCCTATAACTTCCGAACCCTAATTATAAGTATATATTTTAGTAACAAATGTTCAAACTGCATTTTAATATTTTAAAAAAAACTGGTTTAAATTTACCAAATTATGAATTAATTATTAAAATTGTTGCTCTAGACCAGGGATTACCAACCAGTTGATCTTTCTAGGAATATAAGTCGATTGTTATAAAAATTAATTTTACCACTATCGGTTGATCGCGTATGAAATATCGGATAATGGGAACATTAGATTATTATTATTATAAAAAAACAATATATTGGAGCTTGACTTTTTTTTTTGCTCATCACACAAATCTTTTCCTAAAGACCTAAATTCTCCTGGATATCGTTCAAATGTGTAGCTCACTTGTTTGAAAACCCCTGCTCTAGACTATAGTAGTCTTTAAAGATAAAAATATTAATATATTAATAAATACTATTGTACCTTTTGTTTTGTAGTTTTGTTCTGGTAAAATATCAATTTCATTACTGCCATTATTATGTTTTTCTGAAGTTTTTGAATTTTCTTTGCTAAACCTTGGACGTTTTGGCATTTCTGTGTCATTCTCATAATCAGAATATTTTTTTGGTTTAATCTTACGACCAGATCGTGATACATGTCCTACATTTGAGCTGTTACTAGAAGATATTTCACTACTTGAAGTAGGGCTATCCTTTAACTTTTGTATGGATTTTAGAGTTTTACTGTTTTCTAGTGTTACATCATTAAATTCAAGTTCAGATTCTGTGGTTGTATTAAGAGTCTCTGAATTTTTATCCATTGTTTTAGAATTTTCTCCATCAACACTTATTTTTTTATTTGAAGTTTCAGATTTCTGTAAATTATAAACATATTTGTCATATATATACTAAAAAATATTATATTATAATAGAACACAAATAATATTAAAAAATCAATCTAAAATACTTTTTTTAAGATATGCTAAGACAATAAATCAATCTTATATTCATAAAAATATAAATTAAGTAATTTTCACTTTTAATATTCAATAAATATACACTCATATAATATAATACACAACTCATAATCATTGGATCATAACGAATAAATATTTCTGAAATTAAAGACAATGGTATGATTTAATTGAGGGTTTAATGATCCCACAGTGATTGATTATAAATAATAATATAATTTTGTGTTTTTATTTAAAATAAAGTACAATAATTTAATTTTACCAGTAAACAAAATAAATATTTTTTAAAACAATTTTCATTATCTATTGTATAATATCGTAAATAATAAAATAACTAATAAGTAATAAACTAATAAAATAAAAAAAATGTAGAATCAAATTTATAAAATTTTTACCAGTGTTTTTATATTATATGTTAGAAACAAAATTTTACTGTTATACGTAATATAAAATAGAATTTCTGGTTAAAAAGAGAAAAAACTTATATTGCAGATGTAATTGATAGGTATATACATTCACAAACACAAATATTCTTTTTTAAGGCACGGGTTCCTTTTTTCATTGGTTGTTTTGTAGAAAAAGTTAATTTCTAAAAAAAATGTAAACTATAATGTATATAATAATGTCATCCTTAAATAATAAATTGAAACTACAACACATAATAATCAGGCACTTTCTAGAGTCATAACACATTGATATAATAAAAATATAATGATATTTGCAAAACAGGATGTTCTTTTAAAGCAATTTATCAATAAATTAATAAATTTATATAATTATATTTACAGTAGATTTTTTTAAATGTCGCTATATCAAATTTATTCTCATCTTAAACTACACAGCAACTTTTTTGAAATTAACATTATATTCAATTGTGTTTGCTCTTGATAACTTAATGTAAAATTATTCCATTTTTCATTATCTTGAGTACACAAATAATATTTTTACTATGGTAAGAATAGAACATTATGCAGTACATTCAATAAAGTGATAGCACATGTTCAAAGTCAATTTTTTTTTTAGTAATTTAGTATATAGTTTTCAATATTTATCAATATTGTGAAATGGAGAGTAGGCATAAATTAATGTCCTAACAATTTCGGACAGTTTGCTAAATACAGTCAGTTGAAAAAGGTGACCATAAAAAATGTGAAATTGCTAATTAATTTAATATTTCACCAAATACATTAACATCAATTATTAAACAGCAAGATAAAATTATAATGTACATTGTTGATATATGGAAAAATGAAGATGACTCTTTATTTGAACATCGATAAATGTTTATTAAAATGATTTACTCAGTGATGATATCAGTGCTGAGATAAAAACCTAATATTAAATGGAACAATTTTACTTGGAAAATCATACAAATATGTACAACAACTAAGACACACTTACAAGTTGTTGACTTACAAATTGGAAGAAAGACATAATGTTTCCAAAAGTTTGTGAAGAACTTCAATAGACACACATTGTTTTAAAATTGGATTAAAAATCTTTCTGTTATAGTAGGATTAAGGTTGTAGATTTTATTTTAATGATATTATTAATGTTGATGAAATGGGGTTATTTTTCAAATGTTTACTAGATAGAACTTTTATGTTAAAGGGCAAAGAATGTTCAGATGGAAAATACAGCAAAGAGTGCATAACAATCATGGTAGGAGCAAGTATGCCTGGAACTGAAAAACTAAAACTATTTGTCATTGGTATAGCAAAGAAGCCTAGATATTTAAAAGGATTTAAATCTTTACTAGTTGATTATAGGTCAAATAAAAAAGCTTGAATAACTTTGTCATTATTTAATGAGTAGTTTTTAAATTTTGGGTATTCATGTCGTATGCGGTCTACCGCCCATTTCTATACGTCATATACGGTCTACTGCACATTTTTCGCCGACCACATAGTTAAAAATATGAATAATGAATACACAAATGTAGAATTACAATATATTTATTAATGTAGAATTTCATTATAATATTTAATAATACAAAAAAATATATAAAAATAAGTAGGTAAATTAAATTAGTATATGTATTATATGTCAAATGCTGTTGTTGGCAGTAGACCGCATATAACATGAATACCAAATTCTGATATAAAAAATGAAACTAAAATATAACAAAAGTTTTACAATTCATAGATAATTGTACAGTTAATAATCATTAATTGAATAAAGTACATTTTTTACCACCAAATATATCATTTATATTTTAGCCCATGCTAACACATCAAGTTGTTATGCAAAATATCAAAATATTTTATAGAAAATAAATAATCACGCAATTAAATGATAATATCAAATAATTTTCTATAAACATACACAAAGCAATACAAATGTTTGATAAATCTTGGAGAATTATAACACCATAAACTATATTAAATTACTCCATAAAAGCTGTTTTTAAATACTGTGATATAATTCTAATAAATAACTTCAATATTTCTGATGATAAATGACATTTTGTTGCAGATAATCTTAATTTATATGACAGAATGTTTTCACATCATATAGAAATTAACCACTACGTACATGTTTATGGAACATAGACAGATAACAAAATTTTATCAAAAACTATCAAAAATCTTAGCGAAAATGAAGACAAACCATACTAATACATGTATGGAAGATGGTGCTTTTTCTGCATTACCTAATTTGGAAGACAGAAGTAATACAAAACAAACTTGAATGACAGATTTTTTTTAAATAATTAATTTAATAAGTAATTAAGTTCATTTATATTTAAGAAGTATTAATATTTTAATTATTAAAATTATGTAGTTGAAGCATTCAAACAAATTAATCATTTTTTTTAATTTTTTTTTTTCGATATTTCAAATTATTTTCTCTTTCCTTTAAGACTCAATATAAAGAGAATCTATTGAACATAAATAAATAAATAAATATGACCAACTCCTAACTATGGTTGGGTTCCTTAAATAAATATATCATTATGGAAAATAAATTATAGTAAAAGATGATCAATTGCACTAGGAATTAATGTAAATATTTTTAATTAATCTATTACTAGTAAGTTAAATTTACTGACCTGTTGTGAATTAGTTGCTTTTTCTATAAAACTATCTTTTAAAGCTTCTACCAGTACTATGGCTCGAGACTCACTAAGCTTTAAAGTATCTGCAGCAAGTTTTTGCTTAGTTACCAACTTCTTTGTAAATGCTTCAGGTTTGACATCAGATATTTTTCTTTTTGTTCCCTTAGATATAGAAAGACCCAAACTTTTTTTAGGTCCAATGGATTTTTTTCCTTTGGAAGAACTTGTCTCTTCGTTCGATAATTTTCCTTCACTTTCGGAATTAGATTCACTTATTTTTTCAGTTTCAACCACATTTTTAGGTTCAACTGTAGATGATTCATTTGCAACATTACTAGGTGTTGTAAATACTTGAGTATCACTTTCTGGGAGAACTGATACATCATCATCTTCAATTTGTTGGAGAGCTTCAGTAAAAAATTTACGTTTATTCGGTTTTCCTAGTTTAGCCTTGTTTTCTTCATATGGAAAGAGTTCCTCTGGTTTACATTCAGCGCGTTCACCAGTTCCATAAAAATATACATTGTATCTAAGTCTTGATGGAGTATCAGCTTTAACACTAGATACTAAGGCAGGCCAAGCAGGATAACCTCGTATTTTTGCGAACACTTTATCTTTGATATTGAATACTTTTTTCGAAGACATTGTACAGTCCTGTGAAAAATTAAATAATATAATCAGCAAATAATTGAAAAACGTAAAAACAACAAATAAGAAGAACCAATATGAGCATAATATAAAAGAGTAAAGATTTTAATGAAATGAGAACATCTCAAGAAAATTATGCAAATATTTAGCAGTCAATAGATATACACTCCATTCTTACACATAACACAACAGTTGTTGATTTTTTTTTTTTTTTGTTATACCAATATATTAAGGCAACAATTTGATACAATTCTAAAGGGATACAATGTATAATAAAAAGCAATGCAATGTAAACTAAACATCTAATGAACTATTATGAAACGTTCAAGAATATTAAATTGAAAATTGATTAATTTATAGACTAAAATGTAATATAATATAAGGAAAAAATGTACGATTTGAAAAAAAAACAATATCGGTGTCCGGTAGTTGGATACTTGGACCGCACAGACGTGGTAAATGGCGGCAACCTTATACGACAACGAACGTCACATTGATCGAAAACATAAATATACTTACAAGCGAAACAGTCCAGGAAACAAAAGATATACGCTCGCAAAATGAGTTCACCAAAAACAAAGACAAAACTTAAAATAAAAAATTAAATAACACAGTCAACTCGTCGATAATATTCTGATTCGAATTTTAATGCTAATCGTAGTGAAATTTATGACCGATAAACAAATGTGTATCACTGATCACTGATGTTTGGTATTAATTTCCAAAGGTTGTTTGCAATTGGTTCTCAACATGTGTGCACCAACAAGTAAAAATACTTACCATATATTACCAAACACTACCTAGTTCATGGTTATAACTCAATTATCACGTTTCACCCAATAATCCTAAAACGTCTAAACCCATTATCACGATGTAAATCATTTACTATTCTGTGATACACTTATACATATATCGTACCCATTATATTTAAGTCTATGGTACTTCGGTATAAAATTCATATATTTTTACCACGATAAATTCTTATTATTCTCCAAACTAGTGGCGGGCCGCATATTAGCATTCTGGGGTCGGTCTCGGCACCGGTTATCATTTTAGCTTTCTGATTGGTCGTTTGGTTTGGCCGCACTTTTTAAAAACTGTTACCCTATAACCTTGTTATAAAAAGCGCGGCCAAACCAAACGACCAATCAGAAAGCTAAAATGATAACCGGTGCCGAGACCGACC